ATCGACACCTTCGTCGTCAAAATTTCAGATTCGCACGACTCCTCGAAAAAGAAGGATTTCTTCGGTGCTCGCACGGATAAACGAGCCGTTTGTTCGGGTCGCCGATTTGGGAGCAAATCAGAGGCGAGAGATTTCGTTTTCCCAGAGAGAGAAAGAGAGAGAGAGAGAAAAAAAAGGGAAGGTAAAGAGAGAAACGGTAACGCGGCCGCGCTAAGGAGGAAGGAATTATGCATGATTTTGTTCGAGCTCACGTGTTATGTAAATGATAACGTGCAACTTCCTGAATAACGATCAAGGAGCGTAAGCAACAGCAGCTCCGCATACCCGTCGCGTCACAGCCTACATGTGCATATATGTGCGAGAGCGCGCGCATACGTAAGCGAATGTTAAGTGGGAGAAAGAGAGAATAGAACAAGGGGAGAGGGGAGGGACAAAGCGTATAAATTCTTCGCGCTGTTGAAAATTGCGAGGGACGGAAGACAATTGATTAATTCAATTATTTTCGTTCAAATTTTACACTTCGGCTTCGAATCACACGGATATTATTAGGCGCAGAAATCAGTTCTGTGCATTTGTACTCGATCTGTGCATTTCTAACTCCGACTTAGGTAGAAATATTTCCTTGTCATTTCGTATTTTTATTAGGAATTTTAGTGAGATGAGACAACTGTACATACAGACGCAATGTAATTGTCCGATAATTAATTAGAATTTATTATAACGTTTCGCTTGTACATATCAATCCGATAACATTTGCGAGACGAACGACAAGTGAAGTTAGGTGAATACAAAAATTCATATATTAAGTTGTCCCGAAAATTTCTTTCGTCTTATTAATAATTAATATATACACAATATTTTATGTTTTGTGTTACATTACTGAATCGTGTACGATTCATTTCGCTTCGTTACTGCTACAGCATCAATGTCTGAGAAATTAGATTGTCTATTTGTATAAACACTGCCACAGAAAATAATTGAATGCAATTCACGAAAGAAACTTTCGGAACAATCTAATACCTACTCGTTTCAAATGTGTTCTCGACCGCGTATGACCTCTCTTAAGCTGGCAGGACCAAATCAGCAGAATCATGTGGCATTTAGTGGAATATTTAGTACTTATTTTGTACTAATTTGTACCACCAACAATCATTTTCTACCTCGTGCCGTTTTCGAAAAAATCGTGGCGCTGCTAGCTTAATATTAATATTACAATTTTCTTGAAAACGGTAACAGGTACAAAATTTCTTTTGGCGGTACAAATTGGTACAAATTCGGTACTAAATGTACCCGCCTTGATTTTTTCATTTATATTAATTTTTAACATTTTCAGCCGCTAGATTAACGTTAAACTAGCAGCGCCACGATTTTCTTGAAAACTGTAACAGGTACAAAATTTCTTTTGGCGGTACAAATTGGTACAAATTCGGTACTAAATGTACCCGCCTTGATTTTTTCATTTATATCAATTTTTAACATTTTCAGCCGCTAGATTAACGTTAAACTAGCAGCGCCACGATTTTCTTGAAAACGGTAACAGGTAGAAAATTATTGTTGGTGATACGAATTAGTACAAA